AAGGAAGGAAGGAAGGAAGGGAGGAGGAGCGGATACCGCACTAAAAACAAAAACCCCACACGTCAATGTGGGGAAATAGACGAGACCCTGGGAAAGCTGTGACTGGAAGAGAAGATTGCACGCATTTTTCACGAGCAATTACAGTAATTTCAGTAATGAATGTGCACCATCCAACGAGTGGATGAGACTCATGAATGGCATTTGGCAAGACATGACCACCAACTCCAAAAAGCTCTCGAGCATAAAGGTTCGGATGGCAGAGTCCTGAGCACAGATTTTGCTCAAGTCTTCACTCGGTGCTGATCACCAGGTTCTGTTGGATTTTGTTTGGTCGTCGAAAGTCAATCCTTCCCAGACGACCATGATGTCATGACCAACTTGAAGTTTTGGGGATAAAGTTCTTTCAGCCATTGGGGCTTGTGTTTGAGGCCGCCATCTTTGCTTGGTGATGTTAGGTCGTGGACAGCCGCCTTGACCGATCGTGGCACCGGAGGCGCACTGGTGTGAATGACACCCATGACATAGGATATCATTGATTGTTTTAGTTATATTATTAACCATGCTATCAGGATAGTCTATATGTTAATATCCCCAGACCGCCTTCCAAGCATTAAAATAAAACAAACAAAAACACAAAATAAACAAACAAACAAGCAAGCAAGCAAACAAACAGACAAACAAACAAATAAAACAAACAAACAAACAAACAAACAACAAAACATTACATGTCAAACCATTTCAAATCAAAACCAAAACAAAAGCAAAAGCGCCTAGAAGGGCCAGCCCCACCGCAGAGACACCAGGTCCGCAGGCTGCACCCACAGTGCTGATGACGGATTTGGTGACCTCATCCGCACAGGTCGTTGGAATAGGACGATCGATGGCACACTCCCCAATGTCTGTGGATTTAACTGGACCTCTATGTCTAAAAGACATCTTGTTTTTGTTGCACACACTCTGAAACCACTGCATTTGGGTCATCAACCATCTAACACTAAGCACCAAGGCCAGGAAAAATCCGAGTCCGGACCTGGGTGTGCATTTCAATATGAAGACCCCCTGGCCCTGGATGGGCCAACTGGTCTTTTTTTCCGAACAATTCCAGGGGATCTTTGTATTTAGCCACAGTGCACCCGACGACCCCTTACACTTAGTAGACGAATTTCCTTTACGAAATGGGATCGGTTGCTGCCCCAATGCCTAACAATCAGGAGGTATTTGCCAGTTGAATTCTTCGACTTCTTTTTGTAGGGATGGATGGCGCGCAAGGCATCTCGGAGAGCAGCACACCCCGACCCCTGCGGCTGGTGCAAGAAAGGCCGTTTTGCAGTATTGGCTCCAGGCACTATCATGACGGAGCCCCCACGTTTGTCCTGGTCTGGAATGACTCCGACTGCTCAAGTCTACCCTCACCATGCACGTGGCACAAACAATGGACGAACTGCTCTCGTAGAGTTCTACATGAGGGGACCGTGTATATAGACCCCCAATTAGGTAGAAAAGTAGATCTCCACTAAAAGATATATTGGAAACTTTCTATCTATTGGGGGACCACTATAAAGGACAAAAGCATTCCCTGATCACAGGGGCTTCATCCCTGCGAGCACGAGAAACACCTGAGCTGCCCGGCATAGAGGGCCCCGCGCTCGCCCACTGGAATGCTATCAGCGAAAATGGCCTTGGACACACGGCCGGGGCCGGTCGAACGGCTTGAGCCACGCAGCATCTGGCACTCCTGTGCCAGCAAAGATGGGTTTGGACCCAGAGGCTCTGGGTGGTTTGGTACGAGAACTTTGGGGTATGGAAGAGCACATCCACTAGCTGGAACAACTCACCCAGCTACCTTGGAAGAAGAAAGCACAATGGCACACTCCTGAAGGAACATGGACAACCAGCTTGATTCCACTGCGGGAACTCAGAGAATCCTATAACGTTTTACCTCCAGGGGCGGAGAACCGTACGACTGTTGACGTCAACTTCCCTCACTCACTGATCACTGACTTTTCTCAGTCTGTTTTTTTTCGTGCTTTTTCATTCAAGTCGCCCTCCAAGGCCCCAGGCCCCAGGCCGGCCCAGCCAACACATCAAGTCCTTCAGCCCAGCCAGAGTCCCGGTGCCTCAGAAGCACTGGAGGCGAGCTCCATGAAGGCGCCAAAAAGGATGAGCATCACCTGATGTAACTGGACACGGGACAAGGAAGGAATCCTTTGGAAATATTTGGAATCATCATGCCATAGACTTCCTTGGAGGGGCGAAACAGAAGGCGTTCGGCCTCCATGTTTCCGGGCCATGTTGTTCTTCAAGATCCACTTTGAAAACTATGGCAAGGGGAGCCTACAATCCGGATCAAAGAGGCAACCTGGGGAGAGGAGCGACCTGCCAGGCCTATTCGGCCGGTGGCTGGAGCATGGGGACCACCCTCACCCACCAGTCGCATCCACTTCCAATGGAATCGATGGACCGCGCTTCTTTCATCAAGTCATTCGCTGGCATCACTGTTTCATCTCTGGGTTGATCACTAACCCGATACCACGCCAAAGCTATCAAAAGCTTCAATCCGTGCAATTTGAGGAACTGTAGATCGGGTCAAGTCAGCATAATATGTTCTTGGCTTCTTTCGTTTCCGGGTGCCGGTTTCGATCCGTTGCGGAAGAGAAGACGAGGACGGTCTTCGTTGGGTCGAGAGAAGAACCGCACGAATCGGTGCGGTTCACTGCTGCACAACCAGCACCACTCAGTTGGATGGTGATTGGAAGGTAAACACTACCCTAGGGCTCCTGTCCCATATCCTCAGAAGGTGGTTAGACCCCCCTGGCACCCACCCCAACCACCTTCTCAGGAGGTGGGCCAGGAGCCTTAGGGTTATACAGTAACATAAAAACATAGGAATAAACATCATCAGGGGTGTCTTTTTCAACCCTTCCGAACTCCCAACTCCGTGGCGTACGCGCTTGGGGTGCACCCCAATGTCGTGTTTGGTCTTAACACATCCCCCTTCATACCGACGGCGGGGGTTGATCTACAGGATTTTACGTATATGATCGTATATGGGTGATCTTAACACCCCAGGTACTTTCGGAGGAATTTCAACCAAGTGGCGAACAGCACAGCGACCTCATCCGTCAGCAGCACCTCAGGATGGTGCGGGACGTGTCGCAGCAGATGGCCTCTGTTGGTTGGGAGAAGCATGGATGACCGAAGGTCACGGCCCCGCACAGCATTCTTTCATCAAGTCTTGTTTAGATAGAGGCCCTCGTCTCAACCAGTTACAGTAGGTCACAAACTGGTGAGGACAGGAGATCTGGTGCGCAGTTCATCCACCCACTGGGGCCCTTTGAATGGCACAAAGAATCTTAAAGGTTCTAAGGCCGGAGAATGGAAGTAGATGGCCTCAAGAAGCGCAGGATTGCGAAGAAATACCATCAACATCCGTCAACTAATTATATACCATCCTCCTTCTCCTGCTGCCAGGTTTCAAATGGCTACCACTGCCGGTTGGTGGTGTCAACTTTCTTCGTCATCCCCGGACAAGGTCATTGGTGCCCAGTCTGCAGATGGGGCATCTGCAACAAGACATCTGCACCAACTAGACAACCAGACCTTCTCAGAGTTCCAGATTCTCCAATGTCAGGTTCTTGAACCAACACCTCGTCACCCTACAAATCCACATGCCCTCTGAGGTACGGTGATTGATGTAGGTGCCAGGGTCGGGTCCAGTCGTACCTTCTGAAGAAGGTACGACTGGAATTCCTAGGGTCATGCGAGCTCCAAATCGCCACCGTCCCCACCCCCTTCGCCCGGACTCGCCAACGACCCGCCAAGCTGCCGCCAGGCCGAAGAGCAAGGCCATGACCGCCAAGCCCGAGGACCAGCGCAGCAGCTTCGCCCGGCGCTCGGCACGGCGATCCACCAACAAACCCACGGGGATCGCCACCTGGTGAAGCGCGTGGCGAAGCGCGGATCCTCCGCCCGGTGGGAAGATCAGGCATTGGCTTTGTTACGAGGTAGCTTCTTGCTACTAGTAACTGGTAGCGATGCCAGGAGCCCCTAGTAGCACCCCTTGCTCCTAGTAAGGCCAGGAGGCCCCTTGGCTTGTTCCATCTTTTTCGTCCCCTATCAGTGCTTTACCCCGGCCCCCAGAACCCCACCCCCTGCGAATACATGTGTGCATCAGTGGGCCAAAAGTGGCTCAATGATGGTCAGTTCCCAAGCGGTGAAAAAATCTATATAATAGGAGTTGGCCTAGAAATGGACCGTGGGATTTGAGCTTCTCGAGTTTCGGAGAAGCCCAAGGCAGCACCAGTAAGACTAGATAGGTATGTTTTGGCCAACCTACCTACCTACTAGTACCTACCTCCTTGCCTACCTACCTACCATACTGTGAACCATACATCTGCATACCAAATGAACCAAGCATCTTTCAAGCCCAAGGCACCACCAGGCTCGTGATGCCCGACACGCTCTCGGCCACCCCCACCAAGGAGTTGGCTCGGTTCACCTGGAGACGCAGCCCGTGAATCCAATTTGGTAAAGATGTTTCAATACCCAAACACTCCATGGGACTGCCATATTTGCCTACATTGGGGTGGTTTTGGGGGTCAATGTAGGCATTTATATGATCATATAGATATGGCATACATGGCAGTCCCATGGAGTGTCTGTGATCAATGAACACAAAGAAGCCCACCAGACGCCGAGAAATGCGAACAGAATCCGCCAGATTCGATGTGGCGATGTTCGATGATGAAACTTGGATACTTTGGCGCTAGGTTCACCCCTTCTTGATTCAAGACCCACGGTGTGAAAACATGAAAACAACACACACATGGCTAGCCATGAACCCCCCCGCTGTTGGTGGGTGGGCAGCGTCTTAGTGTTTCATGAGGGGCTCATTGGTAAGAACTGAAGTTTCAAGGTTCGGCGGCGAACTTGGGGAACAAGTGTTTCGCGCGATGAGAGCTAAACGCCCACAAACCGCCCTATTGACGAGGGGGGGTAGGGGCATGGCTAACAATGCACATGTGTTTCTCGGTGGCCCTATGGTCCTGTTGAACATGCACCTGCCACCATTACCCTGCGCGCTGATGAAGATCTATGAAGCCTTGTTTGGACAGACCGGGTCTGCATCCTGACTCGGGAAAGCCAAATTTCTGTCATATGGCTGTGGGATGCCTTGGGTCATGGCACCAGGATACCGACCGGTTGACCTACCTGGAAGTAGCGCTCCAGGTTTTGACCAAACCAGAATTCCTTTGTTGACCTACCTGGGAGTCAGGCTAAATAACAAGCGCATCGCTACTAGTACTTACTGGTAGCTTCTGGCTACTAGTAGTAGTATGTAGTAGTGCCCCTGTTACTTTTGGTAGCGATGCCCTTGTTCCTAGCAGATGGTGGACCAGGGATGACCAGGGCTCCAGGTTGTGACCAATCCCCATATCCATGACGTCGTCGGCGGCTCTCGCGCGCAGAGAAACGGCCTGACCTGACCCCCCTCCTGGCCATGCCACTGGGAAGAGTGTGGGGCCACGAGCAAGGCCCGAGCCCAAAAGGAATAAATACCTCAGGTCTCTGATTCTGTATGATTCTGTACAATGACACACATGTAGCAAATTCTGCCAGCACCAAAGTGCCGGGTTCCGGTGCCTATGCCCCTTTCTTGGCCTCCCTCTCATCCTCTCTGGTTATAACACCAACCACGTCCAAGTCGTCCGGTCTTGGGTCACAAAGTCCCATCACTGGCTGGTCAAACCTCTCAGCACTGAAAGGCTAGGAAAAACCCTTCACAGCAAGAACCTGCACGATTCTATATGAGCCTTTGCCCGGTGCTTCCAACCAAGACCTCCCCCGCCAAAACCCGCTGGCCGCCGCTGTTCTGGGGGCCCCGCCAATCCGTCGAATCGGCCAGGCGGCTTATCGAAGACAGGGCCCATGGCCATACCCCAGGCGAGGGAGATGAAGAGCTGAAAGGCAAACCTGCTTGAGTCATCTTGCTCAAAACACCTGGTTGGTCTCTGTCTTCGGGTTCACTGGAACTCTCCGTGATTGGTCAATCTTAATGATTCTATATCCTGTTTACCTTGTGCCCCTCGTCTTATTCACGAGCCGTTCGGAGACTCGTCTTCATCCGATTCACATCCCTATGGAATCCTATGGAGGTGGTTTCCATGGTCGTATTGCACTTGAGGGCAGCATAGCAAAGCAAAAAGGAAGGAGAATCCAGGTATTTGGCAGTGTTTGGTCCTGTCCCTTCACCAGTAGCTCTGGATTCAACACACTCCTGGGTGGCCTTATCATCTGTATAAACAGTTGAGCCTTGAAGGCAGCTTAAGCAGTCGAACTGGTTAGGTTAAGCAGGTCCGCCTCACGTTCTGATGGGAGAAATTGATAGTCATCCGCAATTCATGGACCAACGGGCACTTCCATCATGAACTTCAGAAAGCGCAACCCTGCAGAACGCAGTGCTACGCTACGCCTGCCCCGTCCTAAGTCAGGGCCATCCCAGTTCCCACGCTTCGTTTCGCCTCATCTCCACCAGAATTCATACCACATCAAAGGGGCCCAGTCCGATGCCACCAAGAAGCATCGCTTTGACGTTTCTCCGTCGCTTTTCCGCCTCCCCTGCTGCCAGGTTCGTGGGCAGCTCCACATCCAGGAAGGGCATCCCACGCGCGGCGTCGCGCGAGGCATCATCCGCCATGGGCCCCGATCGAGCGGAGGGAGCGGAGGATGGTACCCAGATTGGGACTCCTACGGGGCCTTGCTCCGTTCGCAGCGATGCCAGGAGCCCCTAGTAGCTTCGTGTTCCTAGTAGTATGGCCAGGAGCGCCCTAGTAGCGTCCTTGCTCCTAGTAGCGATGCCGGGAGCCTCCTTGCGAACCAGCTTTCCTGGATAAACTCCTGAAGCGATTGGAAGAGATTGGAAGCACCCTTTTTTTTTCAGCGTGACTAGTGGACCTGGTACCATCCTGGTGGGTGTGAGTGTGTCATTTTGGGATGGGATGTAGCAACCAGCGCTCCGAACTCTCGTTTCTTTCTCGTCCCCCAAAAATATCACATCCAAGAAAATCCAAGAAGCATACTTCTGATGCTCTTCCCTCACTTTTCCTCCTTTCCTTCTGCCGCAATGCCGTCCATCATGGCGCCAACTAATAGCATCTCGCTTGAGCCTGCGGGGCCTCCGTCAGCTTCAAGTGCAGCAGTGACAGTGGTGCGGTCTGGCCAGAACCCAGTGGTGCGGTCCCAAGCTTTTGCAAGTCAGATCCTTTTTGACATTCAAGCTTCGAAGGATCTCAGCCACCAAATCTTGGATTCGAACCAAGTTCTTCTTCAGGGATTTTCACAACAACCATTAACATCGGTGAACATCCTATATCGAAAAAACACGGTCAACCGTGTTCAGCCTCTCTGAAAGACCAACTACCGGGAGAGCCGTCCCCGCGTAGCAAGCCTTGCCGGGCCAGTGAATGTAAATGAAACCTATTGAGCTAAACTTTTGGCGAACCAAAGGCAAACGCACATGCTTGTGGTGGAAGTACCGAACCGAGTTATTATTGAAACGCAACACACTAATTACAGTAGGTTGCAGAGATCTTTATACGCGAAAAAAGAGAAGGAAATCTGGATTTCCTGATCTCAATCTAGGCCGTGGACAGTATCTGGGCCCATCCGGACGCCCTCGCCATCGGGGGCCACCGCAGCAGCACGCGCATTGGGGTCGAACCTGGAAGGACAAGGGAAATCTGTTGAGGTCTGCTTTTGATGCCTGCTGCCTGAGAGGAAGGTCATCTACCCCCCTACCCCGTTGTTGAATCTGGGTTACCTCATCATACCTGCTCGAGGTCTCAGTTCAGACTTAAGAAATACAAGCATGATTAATCAGAAGGGTTAGAGTGTTAACAAGATCACAAGCAACAAAAGAACAAGCAACATTCAATCAGCACGAACACACAAATAAAGAATAATACAATTAATCCACTGGTAGTTAAGTTCTTCCCATCCTTCCCTGCCCCCTTTGCAATTAATCCACTCCCTAATTAAGCTAGTTAATCCTACAATTTTTCCAAGTGATGTTGCACAACGTCTTATCATCCACCCCCCTCAAGATTTTTGCGCGGGAATTTATCCATATATGACAGAGCTAGGCGGGCCTTGGATTAGTTTCTGAAGGTTGCAGGTATTGCTTTTGGGTGCGTGCTTACATCTATCTACAAAGAGTGCAGCACATGTTTTCGAACTTGATGGACACCTGATGGGCATACGATTCCTTGTGGTCTTTCGGACATATCATGATATGATTTAAATGGTGCAACTTGTAGAAAACCCGCCCAGGACTGATCCTTCAAAGTGAAGCGAAGAGAACCGGACACGAGACATGGGGCGCGTCTCGAAATCACCTGAAAGGCTGCAGCCCTTCCTTCAGTGCACTCCGAAAGGTGACCCTCCCCCAAACATGGAGTGTAAATCTCTTCGTAACGGGGTTTATTGATCAAGATTCTACAAAAATCCGCCGACCCCACACCGTGGGGTGAGGCGTGACTGTCGATGTTAGCCTTAGCCTTAAGCCTTAGCCTTAGCCTTAGGCCCTAGTCCTTAGCCTTAGACCTAGTCCTTAGCCTTAGACCTAGACCTTAGACCTTACCTCCCCTACCCCTCCGGACCCTTGTTGGAGTGACGAAATCCGGTCGAATTTCGCCAGGAAAGCGACCTGGATTGTCCAAGAATCTGCCATCCCCAATTGATTTACATCTTGGGGCACCCTCTCGACCCGCGCGGGAAAATAAGCACGGTCCAAAATGGTCCTGGGCTCGAATCCCGGGCTGGTCACGGCATGGTCCCGGCCAATGCCCTTGCTTTTTCAGCATCACGGGGTTCATGCAAGCGATGACGTCCGAAGGTAAATCTGGGCGGTACCCAAAAAGTCGACTTTTTGGGTACCTGCTTTGGTGATGCTGTGGTGGTGATGGGTCTGAACTCTAAGGCAACGATATCCGACCCCCAAGGGATAGAACCTTAGCGCTAGCCTTGCTCTATGTTAGCCTTAGCCTTAAGCCTTAGCCTTAGCCTTAAGAGTGCAGACCCAACCCAGCACGACCAAAGCAGGTACCCAAAAAGTCGACTTTTTGGGTACCTCCCAGATTTACCATCGGACGTCAGCTCTTGCATGAACCCCGATCATTGCCCAAGAATTTAGACCCAACCCTTCACCACCAAAGCAGGCACCCAAAAAGTCGACTTTTTGGGTACCTCCCAGGTTTACCAATTTAGACCCAACCCAGCACCACCAAAGCAGGTACCCAAAAAGACAAAGCCTAGAGCATTCCTAGGAAAATGCCAGAAAAGCCTTTGAAAATCTCATAAACCAACAGAAAACGTGATAAAATCTACAAAAAAAAACAAGGGCATTGGCCGGGACCATGCCGCGACCAGCCCGGGATTCGAGCCCAGGACCATTTTGGACCGTGCTTATTTTCCCGCGCGGGTCGAGAGGGTGCCCCAAGATGTAAATCAATTGGGATGGCAGAATCTTGGACAATTCCCGGGTCGCTCAGGTAGCTTTCAGGGCACAATTTCGTAACTCCAACAAGGGTCCGGAGGGGTAGGGGAGGTAAGGTCTAGGTCTAGGTCATGTTTTCGAACTTGATGGACACCAGATGGGCATACGATTCCTTGTGGTCTTTCGGACATATCATGATATGATTTAAATGGTGCAACTTGCAAAGTGAAGCGAAGAGAACCGGACACGAGACATGGGGCGCGTCTCGAAATCACCTGAAAGGCTGCAGCCCTTCCTTCAGTGCACTCCGAAAGGTGACCCTCCCCCAAACATGGAGTGTAAATCTCTTCGTCACGGGGTTTATTGATCAAGATTCTACAAAAATACACACATTCAGCTATGAGTTTCTGTTCCTTGGACCAATCCCGGTTCCCAAGGGTTTGGGACATGAAGGGGGCAATGCCCGAGAAGTGCAGTTCGAGCTTTTTGGGGGGGGCAACACCCGAAGTAAAGGAAACATTGCTTTTCGGATCACCTGAAGACCAACAACATGGTCTCGGATTCCCAGGGTTCGACATATATACTGGGTCTATCCTAATTACCGGTAACAGTGGATGATGGTGGTTACTAGAGGCCTTATTCAAAAACAGCAATAATTGTTTACGGACTGTTACAGGTAATAGGACAGGCCCAACATATACATATAGAAATAGATATGCAAAGGTTCGATGGCACTGCTACCCCTACAGGTCGTTGTAGATGGGGGTCCACCGACATTGGGGATTGTGCCATCTACTATCTACTCTGAAACCACTGTAAATACATGTAAATACATTGGATGTAGTTTCCCTCTGATCGTCTTTCTTCCAGGGTTTGCGATGGATCCCTCCCAAAGCTGCATGGATGCGAACTTGTCTTTCAGTATCCACTGTCTGACGAGGTTCTGCCGCTGAAAGAAGAACTGGGAACGGGGCATCGTTCATATGAGGGGATTTTGTTGCATAGCATTGCATTCCGTTATCGGTTTTGCAATCGTGCCATGCCCACAGGCTAGGCGAAGGAGAAACAAAGGAAACCTCTCATTCCTACCATGCCAGCGGATGAATGCTCAGGTCCCGCTCCACATCAAGAAGTACAACACACTTCAAGCAATCATCTTTGAATCGCAACCTATCGTTATGTCCTGTGTGTCATGCTTCTTATCGTTTTCTGGTGCTATTGCCACCCCGGCTGCTGTGGGAACTGCTCTTGCTAAATGGCTTTTCTACAATCCAAAGGGCCAAAAGTGATCTTGAATGACCCTAACGTCAAGCAGAGAGTGAGGAAAGCCAGGCGGTCTCTTGAAAAGTTCACTCCACGCCAAAAATCTAGACTATCCAGCTAACCTTGCATCAATGCAAAACACTGCGGAAAGAAATGAATGAAACATGTCTAGCCTGGCGACGCCCAGTCACGCTGGTCTTCCGCGCCCGAGAAAAAAAAAGAAACATTCCAACGAGAAGCATCTGCTTCCAACGCTTGGCGGCCCGCTCCTGGGCGGTACTTCATCAAATTGGAGGAGTTCATCCCTGCATCCCTGCAGACTGTTGACTCATAAGCACGAACAAGCACCCCAAAATGAAGATGTTCAACCGTGCTTTATTAAATCTCTAAGGGGGGAGGTTCTCAACACCGAGACATACCCAAACACTCCATCTATGTAATGTATGTGTATATACATAATGTATGTATATATACATAATATACATATGTGTGTGTATTATATATCACTATATGATGATTCAATATGGTGACCTCTTAAACCATCCCCTATCGTGCACGAACATCTACCAGTCCCATTCGTCCCCGCCACCCTGGCTCTTTCAGGAACCACCTTTCGAACGGCGCCGCCCTGGTGCCGCCCTGGCGCCTTGTCCAACAACTCTCCGCTCACGGAGCGTCCCGCTGGGTCGGCGCAGAACTGCAAGGCGTCAGCGAAGGCAAAGCGCAGGGCCTGAGCGCCAAGCGCATCGCGGAGGCAGAGCGCCAAGCGCCAGAAAGGGTCCCAAACCGGGGATTTTGGATCTGCTGTTATGCTCAGTGGATCACAGAAAGGGGGAATGATGGACCACCCACAAAGGTCACAGAGTCCTCTATGGGATGTCAACCAAACCCATCGATTGCAAGGGAAGGTTTGGTTCCTCACAGCATCTCACAGCCAAGGATCTCTTTTGGGGAAGCGGGACCACTTAGATGTTAAGGCTGTTACGATTGTGTCTTTTTGGTTTTCCATCAACAGCATGGGGATAAACCTCAGAAGGAATGTGGTCAAACTGCATGAGAGCAACGGCTTCGTGGAAACTCCTTCATGTTTGCCTTGGCGTGTTCATTGCCGTTTGGAGCTGCAACGGGCCGTCCGAACTCGAGCTTCGGCTGGTCGACCGGACGGTGCCCAAGTGATGTGTTCAACAGGTCTCTGCCATGTGTTCAACACCCTCACTTCAACCAACAGGACCGCGAAGAAAGTGGGTGGAGAAGCTGATTTCCACAAAGAGTCCGGGAGATCAAAGCCCATCTTCTATTTAAGGGTCGAGTCTTTTCCCCTTAGCCTTAGCTGTGCAAAAACCTGTCAAAGCAAACCACCCACTTCTCGGCACAGCTTTGGACATTGTTTCCAGCATCTTCTATGATAAGCATTGGGGCGATGTCCTGTTTTGAAAGACGGGTTTGTGTGGTCCCACAGCAACATCCTCAACTATGCTGCTGCTTTGACGCTTCATGAGAAACGTGGCATGTGACATCATCTCGCAAAACACCTTACACTGCACACATCTCCACACAAGACTACTTCGGGGGTCGTGGTTGAGCATGGTTAAGTATATGTGTCATCTGGTTGCGGGTCAAACCCTGGTTGACCCTGGTTGACCAGGGAATCTTCTGAAGAGTTCATAGACTACTAGACATGATCAACCTACTAAGGTGAAAACATGCTCCAGTAGCTTGGGGCATTGACCTCCAGCCATCTCCATCCCCTCCTTCCTTCCGCCTCACCTCCGCTTGCGCGTGGATCGCTTCCGAGCTCAGGCGTGGCGGAGCAGGGAGCTGCTCCAGCAAGTTCAAGGCCATAAGAGCCTCGGAGCGGCCAGCAGAACAAGCAGAAGGTGGACACGCATCGGATCATGAGAAAGAATGTGGTACTGTTTCTTGATCATATGCTTGGAGCTTACCCATTTGCCTTAGATGCCAGAAACTGCGTACTGCCCTGGGAGCACCGCTCTTTGAGGCTTCGAGAGGTCACAGTGGGATCACTTGAAGAGTAGGCATGCCGGCTCAAGGGCTGGTCCTCACCAACAACGAGGCACCTTTCAAGAACAAGCAGACCCTGCTCCATTACCTGGTGTGCACCCCACATCAAGTGGACATACAGGACCGGGTGACACTTCGACCTTTCACCACATCTGCGTTGGTTGCTGGTCCTCGCCCTCCTCTCAACCAGGAGCCGTCACGCCCTGTGTGGGTGGCGGGCACTCGTAGAGCCGGAAGCGGCCACGATAGCAGCTGCCTCGGTGTGTTGGCAGCCACACTCCTGGTCGGCTCCAAAAACCCTTCCTTCAAATCCTGGGGCGCCATGTGTCGGCCTCTGGAATTTGGGACCCCTCCCAGAAAACAGAGCTGAAACAACAGGTGGGTCAGGAAACCCCAAACCACAAAACAGGTGGGACAGGTGGGCCTGGAATCAACCACCAAGTGGGTCAGAGGGTCCCCTTTCCAGATCAGATCGGTCTCCTAGAATCCGTATGTCTGGGAAGCAGCTAGTTAGCAGCTAGTTAGGATCTGTTGGGCACCACTTCCCGCTCACTTTTCAGGTTTGGCTCTCTTTCAAAAACCCACCTGCCCAGGCTCTACCCGGACTCTACCCGCTACCTTCTCACCACAAAGCTGTCCAGCAGCTGATGGGCTCGACAAAGCTGCAGCTGTGCTCTGCGAGGTCCTTGGCACTCATCACACCACCTTGCATCAGGGAAAATCAACATCACCCTAAGCAAAACCAGAGAAGGTCCGTGAAGGTCGGCAGGAGGATTGATGATTGGTCAAAAAAAGACTCTACGTTGGGTATATCACCCCATTACCAGTAACAGTGGATGATGATGGTCAATCAAATGGCCGACATCTCAAAAAATGGAGAACCACCAATTGTGAACATCTTCTACCATCTATTTACTGGTAAGGGCCTTAACTCCTTGAATCGATCTGGCGTCCGATCCATGCGCACACTACTGCGCACCTCTGGCGGCCAAAGCTTTCACAATCTCCTCAGCCACGGCGCCTGTGTAGAAGCCCTCCTGGCTGGGCCCTGGTGAGGGCCCACGGCTGGCGTGCATCAGAATGCAGAAACCCATAGAAACCCAACAGTTTTGCTACAGTCCTCACTTGAGATCAGTGAGAGAATATATATATATATATATGCATACAGACTCCGAATGCCACGTCACCACCTCCTTGTCCGTCTTTCGTGCTGCTTGGGGACACGTCACCAGACGATGCAGACGAGGTGGCGCTTCTCCGCGCCTTGGCGCCCTTCTCACCCAGCAAGCGCATCGTCTGCGCCAGGTCTGGATTTCTGGGCCGAACGGCGAAGCGGCGAAACGGCACCCGCCTCGGTGGTTTTGGGGGGGCGTCGTCCTATGCACCGGAGAGCGCCCTGTGGCACAGGGATGGCCCCGCAATTGAGTCTTCGTCTTTGATTAGATATGTGAAACCAGCATGCCAGTAATTGCAGCTCAGCCGGAAAGGTTTTTAGTCTTTGCCGGTGGTATTGGTGCAATGACTAGAAGTCCAAAAAGTATCTGTTAACATCTTCTTGCCACATTGAAGTACGGGAAGTTCCCGTGCAGGTCACGTAAACACCCGTTTTTTTATAGTGCTTGACTGCCAGGGCAATTACAACCTAACACATCGTAACACCAGCATTGAAGACTCTCTCACGAACGACCCGAACGACTGTATGACATGTATGAGTGCGTGTGTACAACGAGTGTGTTCATAAGGTACTCATGGGCTTCTTGGGGATGTGCAATAAGAAGAAAATTGGAGGGCCCGTGCTCTGTGCACGTTCGAGAACCCACCACGTGCACAGCTCCATCTCTGCCCCCCCCTCCGTTCGCCTGAAGATCTCGCCCGCCTTGGGCGCTCGCCCGCCCGGCAGGTACGGTGTAGGGCGCCCACGGGCCGCCTGTGCCAGCAGCTCCTGAAGTGAACTCGCAGTTGGACTGAAGGACTGGGGCAGCCTGACCATGAGAAGACCAGGATTGGGGTCTAAGATGGTCTAAGGTGGCATTCATGATCCAAAATCTATGGTTGGAGCCGCGGGAGGGCCAATGAACACCTGTCAAACAGGGACCCACTTGACATCAGCTGCACCAAGCACCCCGTGAAAACTGCGGAGTGCCCAGCAGGGAAGGGCAAGGCTTCGACTTTGTCTAGGCTCGGATCTGATTCCACGCACGTGTGTAAAGCACAAACTCGTCGATCCGACCCCACCAACAAAGCAACCAGTTGCCATATAATCATATAGCAATCCCCAAGCAAGATAAATCCAAACTCGAGCACTGAACATGGACCTCTCTAGTTTGATCTGAACCGATTAGAAGACCTTCCACCACGAAAACGAATGACAAACCTCTGGCCAGACCATGAAGCTATTTATTTGGAGTCTCCACCAGTCCTCACTCTGCTGCCAGATCTGCGCTGCACCCTGCGAGACAGGGAAGCCGCCCTCGGCCAGCTCGATGGCTGGCTGAAGTACCTCCCTCGTGTCTCGCCATGGTGAAAACAATCCTCCCGTGAGTCGCCCCAAAAAAACAACGGATTGTATGGTTTGGAGGACAAACCAATCGCATGACTTAGATATATAATTAGCTACAGGAACAAAACCAATTGGTCCGGACACTGAGGAAAAAAGGAAGAACAAAACTCTGGTTTGCAAGGAAAACCTCTGTTGAGGGAAGGCGGATCTGAACAACTAGGACAATGGAGGGTTCTCTGACGGGTACACCCCCGCTTGGAGGTGTTATGAGTTGAAGCAACACCATCATCATGGGGAGGAGGTCACCAAGGTTTTAATGTTGATTTATAGAACCCCAAGACAGTGATCGTTCAACATCTTGGAAATGAATGATACTCTTGCAGCTGAACGGACTTGTTTGAGGAGACCCTTGCAGAATTAGTGTGGACAAAAACTGTTCAACATTGTTCAACTCCAGTTGAACCAATTCTTCAACTCCAATATCGCTTGATTAGCTATTGCGTGCCTCACATACCTTCGAAGTTGAGACTCTTCACTTGTTTTACGTCCTCAGTCCTCAGTCCGGTACAGCTCTTATGACCGGCATGGACCCAAAAGGACGACCTCGAATACTGCTCAGCGGGGTGCCATCCTCTCACTTGTGCCTTCTTTGGAGGGATTGGAGCTCAAAAACTTATGCCTTATGTGATTGAAAAGCTCTGCCCACCGCCTGAAAGCGCCCGAACTCTTGTGAGCTCGGCACCCTCCGCCCAGTCACGCACGGGACCCCCCAAAACGGCGGGTGCGGCACCTCAAGCTCTTCGTTCCCCACTGCGCCACGGCCGCTTCCCAGGCACTGGCGGTGCCCGGCACGGTGACGCACAAGGCGCTCATGGGGTGCAAGCTGGTGCCTGGCCGCTGGGGACCCCGGGGAGATCTGAAGTGATGAAAGATGTTCGTTGACGAGCGAGGAAATCTGTGATGGGATGGCAATAAAATGCCATAAATCCAGAGTTCGGTGATCCTGAACATGAATTCCCTTCTGCACTCCAACCCTCAAAACGAGGTGGTCTAGCAGGAGGACGACTTCCTCCAGCTGTGCATGCTTAGACTTGGTGTGAATTCCAATGGCCTCCGGCTGCTTGCCTTGACAAGGCACTCTCTTTTTTTTCAGCTACAGAGAGCTGCAGTGAGCATCAGGGGGTGGGTGAAAGGCCTCTGAGGCCTCGTGGGTTCATCATCTCCCATCCATCGCCTGAGACATCCGGATGTGCGAGGGCTCCTTCCAGTGTCAAGGCTGCTGGCGACCGGCCGCAGCCCTGCAAGCAGTGGACCTGCCAGGAACATGAAACACATCGAACCCAAACCCTGCAAAGGGCGGTGAAAGTTGGCCCCAGGCCGCATGCGCAGCCCCTGAGGTAGCCCCTGATTCTGAGCATCCGGCCTAAAGAAGGGAAGCACATCGTCGTCAACACCACCAATCATGTCAGCACATATCATATCAGCATATTTACATGATCATCACGGTTGCACAACAAAGGAGCATGGTGGAAACAACTGCTATATGCGCACAATCCTTCCAAGTGGAGACTTCATGCTGGCCAAGCTACATATTCATAAACACACTCAACACAGTCAAAACCCCCTTCGATGTGGAAACCATGGTCTGCACAATGACCTGCCACAAATTGTGTACAACAGTCAAACCCCAGTCAAGACAATATCAATAGCAGCTGGAAAGGGAATCATTTCGTCTGGGCCTTCTTTGTCTTGGCTTCAAAGAACAGGGCAAATGCGTCGCCTCCTGCAGGACGACGAAGAAGTCTCGTGGGAGGAGGAGGGAACAGTTCAGAAGTGAGGTTTTAAATACACGCTGACCAACACATCACATGGAAGTGGAACATGCCCTCTGTGCAAGACTTTGTAAAGGAGACGAGTCTTGCAACTCCAGTAGCCGATAAACATATCATCCACTTCATTCCACTTCCATGTGATGTTCGTCAGAGAGCGTCCTTCATCTGATGTCATCTTAGGTTGTTGTGAGGGGCTCTCCCTTCCATAGCAGCAGATCCACTCATTGGACCATGAGTTAACCCTTCATAGTGCGCAACAAAGATGCCAACCTACGTCCACCTTGAAGATGTCCACCTTGAAGTCTAGTCAAGTTCTATCACTCTCTCCAAGATGTCCATCAAGTCTACCAGAAGAACATCCCGATGCTTCACTGGACCTACCCACCTTCACTGGACCTACCCACGTCCCACCCGCTCCGCCCCCTCCACGTCCGCGCTCCGAGCCCCGTGTTGCATGGCTCGGTGGCATTCAGCGCCGCGGCCGCAGCCACGCAGGCATCCGCTGCGCTGCCTCCCTGCTGCAGCAGCCGCAAGCCGGCCTCGCGGAGCGGCGGTTGGGGCCGGCAATGAGCAGCCCGCAGCCCTGGAGAGGGGAAAATTGTGAATCCAATGGTGAATCCAATACCTGGCGTTTCGCAGAAACCCAACGTTTCGCAGTAACCTTTTTTTGGACCGAAGTCATCGAAACCCTGATTTCTTTTTCGGCACTCCAAGCACTAAGATTTTGGCAAAAAAACACCACACCGACTTGGAGGAAACCCAAAAATTCCACATTCGATCACGAGTTCCATCACGCGTTGGTCCCGACGTCTCGGTCCCCGTCCCCGTCGACGCTTCGTCGCCGCGTCGTCGCCAGTCGCTTCGTCGGTCCGGCGTCTCGGCCTCGCTGGCCAAGGGTTGGCTCGTGGCGACCATGCCCCGAGCTCCATAGACCGGGGCGCGGCGCGAGCGGAAGCCGAAGCAGCCCGGCTCCATGGGCGGAGAGCCCGAGAACGCACCCGGGCGTGGAGGTGTGGCGATTCAAGGAGTCGATCCATGTCCTTGTGGTTTGTGAACAGAATGAATGCCCAAAACACAATAGACTATGATGATCCAATGAAAGGATATAGAATACAGAATCTATGGTGAATCCGTGCGATGTTCTTTCATCCATTGCAAGGCTGAATTTCCAGGGGATGGAAAGGTATGTGATAAAGAGAGAACCCAAAAAATGCAAGGGTATAAGAAATTACTTTCGTACATTTAATGAGGAATAATTAATAAACATGAATATTACACAATCGAATTGAAGTCCCAGCTGCAATTTGTCTGCAATATATACAGTATGTATATCTAAACCAATGGAATTAAAAGGAAAAGAGATAGCGAATTACGAAGAGAGGAAAACGATCAATTCCTTTGCTTTCAATGGACTAAAGGCCGAGGAAATCCCCAATACCGAAAGGAAGATCAAACGAAGGGTTATGATGATATGATTCTAATTACCGTTGGTACCAGTACTAACTTCACAATCGTCCTTTTGAACAAATACTATCAAATACTCTATATGTATGTGTTAGTTTACATATAGTCATATGTTGATATTCTTCTCCTCAAGTACCAAAAGTAAACTATTGATCTTCTACATATGTGTCATTAGTCATTATGCAAAAGGACACCTACCAAATATATTCTATTCAATTACTATATCTGCTTCTATGTCTTTCTCTTTGCTTGAATATATATATACCCTAGCCTTCCAAAGGCTGCCAATATTGAGGCCGCTGCCTAACAACCACAAATATTGAGGCCGTTCGATATATACTACCCTGAGAACACATACAACCCCCCTTGCAGGCCCACAAACATCCACTATTTCTCGCAAGCTGAAACAAGATCTCTGTGCCAATTCATCGGCGAGACCTGCGTGCACTGGTGGCATTCAAAAAAGCCATACGCCTGGCTGCCAACTTGAGGCGCAACCTGGAAATTTTCAAAAGGTGCGGCTCCAGGGTATTAGTGGGCGCCTTCAGTGCCAAAGATTTGACGTATTTCATTTGATCCTCGTCCGTATACGTGTGCACATGTCTGGGGTTCATCCGGTGGAGCAAGAGGTAAATATTCTGGTGATCAAAGGTATGCAGTTTGGGCTTCAAAATCCATTGCAATGGCATCATTTTGCCACGGCGAGCTAGAGCTTCCCGCTGCTCCCTGACAAACTGGCACTCAGTGACCAACTCAGAAAACAATAATCCAAGGTGGCCCTAGCTGCTAGCTCACAGTTTCCAAAAAATCATCTATAGTTCCCCAAAAAATCAACCCACGAACGCTGCGCCTCATGTGGATGGCAGTGAGCATGACATGCCCCTTGCAAAAAGCTTGCGCTGAATCATAAATGTCTTGCGCTTCCTCCCGGGACCTCACTTGCCCAGAGAAATCAGGGGTAAGGTGGAAAACCTCATGACCAAGACCCCCACAAACATTCCACTAAACAATGCGAGGTGCAGGTACCTTCCGGCTCGTTCAATCAGGCCACACCACCTCTCAGCAGCTGACCTGGTACAATTGCACCAGCTAGGTCCCCATTATTCCAAGACAAGAGTCCCCACAAACCAATGCAGGCCGCCATGGTACTGATACCAACCAAACTCGGACCGGTTGAAATGAAACAACTTTTTTGTGGTTAACAGGAAGGCGCATTGTCGCAGCTTGCAGGGGCATCTTCGGATCCGGCTGGCCAGCATGCCTGTTGGCTTTCCGCCACTGACCGAACAATCTGTTCAGGCCCTCGGGGTCTCTCCCTTCTAAGGCAAGACGCGAAGCCTCCGCCGTGTAGGCGCACAGCACACGCCCATTGTATGCTTTGTGGGTCATAGTGACATTGTTGTTCGATTTGATCACCTCACACAAAATTTGCCCCTAATGTTTTTAGCAAACCAGCTCGCAATGATCAAAAAGAACCTGGAACAACAGCAAACAGGGACTGGCTGCTAAGCAGGAGAGTCCAAGCCAGGATAGAACTGCCGCTGGCTCGTGTAAATCTTGTGGAGCTTGCACCATGCTTTGAAGTCCTGGTACAGGCAAATGAGGTTTTTGTCCAAAGGCCCGTCAGGATTCCCATAGTACCCGTGCTCTATAAGGTTGATCCTTTGCCAGAAGTTGGGTGTCAAGGGAGAATTCAAGAGTCACATAAACCAAACTTCTTTTGAACAAATGTGCAGAAACAGAAAACCTGCTAAACGATTTGGATGCAAAGGTCAGGCTTGATCCATTTGCTGTTTGCAGAAGGCCCAAACAAAAGGTGTGCATACTGCACAGCCGAATTGTGTCCACAGAGAACCCAGGGGTTGCAAGAAGTGGGCCTGTCACCAGGGATACGGCTTGCGCACCCACAGAGCAAATGAGTTAGTATCAAACTGACGATCATTCAGGGCCGAGGGGAAACATTGAAAATTGTCAGTAACCGAACTCAGGCGCACAAGCGATCAGGCAAGACGTGAGCTGCCCAATCCCAAGCTTCTGTAAACTCAGTTTCGTTCCACTGAGCTTCAACGCCGCACTCGGAATAAGGATTGGTTTGCCCCTTCGACTTGGCGTCGCAGAAAAAGCAGCAATCTATGGCCATCCACCCCCGCTTCTCGAACTGCCAGCACTGCTTGAACCAATCTAAGTCACCACGCATCTCGGTGATGAGAAATCTTGATCCATCACTGCAAAGCTGAGATCCATCTGGATTCTTTCCAACGAATGCATAATGAAAAGATTCCACCAGCTTCCAGAACAAAGGATACAAGGTCGATGGCCCGAGATTGTAGCAGCTGCGAATAGTGAAAATCAAGAACCGTGAGAGACGGACCGACGCTGGCCTAAACAAGCAAAAGTTCAAGGTGATTGCTAAAATCTTCTCTTGAGGCGGTCCATCTCTGAACTTAGCCTCGTCGGCGTGCATCCCACATGGAATCACACCAGGGCCACCATGCTTTGCCCACCCACAATTGAAGTGCTTCCCCCACTGCCAATAAAAATCTAGGTGGCTCTTGGGGGTCTTCACAATGTTGTTCATGTACGCAAAGACTTTGTGCGGCTCGAGGTAAGGTAGCTTTATGGTCGTAGCTTGTGTTGTGTCAGTCTGGTCAATGACAGGCACTTCAATCCAGGCCGGCTCCTCACTTGCCAGGACGCAGGTCCAGGTATTGCAGAACTGGGTAAACAAACAACTTGAAACTTAGTTTAAAACATCATGAAGCTTTGGCAAAGTGTCCAAGTCGACAGGTAACGCCGCTGCCCTCCAAAAGGACCGTGCCCGATTCGTAGGGCGGACCCGGCCCAGGTGTGAGACGATCTCAGAAACGTGACCTCTAGACTCCTGCGCTGCAGAAGCATGGAAAACAAACTCACTGTCACGTAGGCTTGCAAACTCAATTCTGTTCGTATAACACGGATCAAACTTCATGTATACCGGCCTACTAGTCCAGGTTTCCAGGTTTGTGCACCTCACATGGTGGCTCCTTGGAACTCGCAGCCGCAGAAGCCACAACAGAATTGATGCTTTGGGCCTGCAAGGGGAAGTCACAAGCAATGTAGGTTGAAACTTGAAACCTGCTGAAGCGGAACTCTTGAATCCCATTCCAAAGGTTCGCTCCCCCTCCCCCAACTGCCATGTTGATCTAATCGAAGCTGAAATTAAATTTACCGGTCAGTATATTTGTTTGGGTTTACGACAGTCTTCGCGCAAGAATGTCGACGCCTGCTCGGCAATCCTGCTCATCATGTCCACCGTGATGGCATCTTTCTCAGCGTCAGTGTCCGAATCTGCGAAGGATCGGATGTGTCCAGCGTACTCCTATATGATCTAAAAACTACAGTTGATTTAATATTTTTTAACACATGATTGCTTTGCATCACCAGCAGATTTGATGTTAAGATTAAACATGGCACGCGAATCTCACACAATACAGTGCAGGCACTCTTGCATGCATGGCCCACATTTTTGACTTGTACTTGCTGTTGCTTTCTAGCGACCCGGCCATGATCTGGTGGGCAGCGGGCCCGCTTTGATCTATATCGTTCTAAGACTCTGAGCTGCATCACAGGCAAGAATGCTGCCAGCCACAAACCCCCAAACACAGTACTTGAGAACATATATTTCATGGCAAGTACAGTTTAACACTACACATTGACCGTGATTCAAGTGGTAAAAGCATTCATTCAATGAGTACAGGGCTCAAGCGGTCTATGGCAGCAAGCTTGCACACCCCAAAACCACAAAGCTGAAATGCTTTGCCCCGAAACTTGAAAAGAGTGTAAGCTCATTTGGCTTTTGGTTCCTTCTTCTTGCCCTGCTGCTTTGCAGGCTTCGCTGATCGGTCATACTCCTCGATCTTGGAATTCAAGATCTTAGTTTGATCCGCCATGAGCTCAACCTCATCCAAGCCCAACGAATCAAAAACCGAGGATCGACGACGATACAAAAAATGTAAAACTCGATATATTCTAGATCGAAGAATATGATCTAAATTATATATTTTGTATTCAGCGTCAACTGATTTAGTTGTGGAATGTCGGTTTAATGTGTGATATGACACGTTTCACGCTGGCTTGCTTCGCCTTGTCATCATCCAAGGATTTCTGCAAGGCTGCGCGTGCTTCCTGCATGCCGAGAATAGCCGCCTGAGGGCAATGGGGATACAGCAGGTTGATTTATACTTGTTTCCCGGACATGAGTTTTTAAATAAATCTGATCAACGAGATTTACTATCGTAGTCTTGCTAAGCTATCCGGCGCAGTCAAAAAATAACACGGCCTGGATGTCACTGATCACAGCTGTACGTAGGTTGGCCCCCCTCAGAAAGCTGTCGATGAGTTTCGCGTGAGAGACCTATAATTTTTCTTTTGGAAAGCTGGGCCCGGGGAGGGTTCTGGAAGTGCTACTGTACTGGTGAGGGAAAGTATGATGAGGCCGAGGGATTGGCAACTTCTCTGCGTGGCCAAGGACT